AGAAGAATATATGCAGTGTATTATTTGTTGAAACTGTACTTCCGATTTGATTTGAAACTGTCTCATTGCTATCTGTTTATCAATAAAACTTTGAAAAAAATCTCTAGTTTATTTATTTGTCAGCATGAAGAAATACCTAAGTAGAGATCTACAAGTTATTTTATTGAGGAAACAGTAAAATATGCATGTCATAATATGGGTTAGGGATACAAAATTCTCAGAATCAGTATGAATAACTACAAGTGTATAACTGGAGTTAAGAATAAAGAACAACTATCAAAAATAAATCATTCAGGAGAAGGATCCTTCTTTCTCTTTCTCCTTATATTTATTTGTGTTTGATTTAGTAATGGCATGCATAATTATCTTTCTCTCAAATATAATTCATTATCTTATATTAATTAGGCGACTATGCATTGTTTGAGAAATGCATGTCTGCAGTTGACAATTAACTCTTCCTTCTGAATAATCTATAAATTCTGCTTATATTATAACAGCTTTTTCTAGGGTTAAGCACTTTCATTAAGTTTGGCAGTATGAATGAAATAAGAGAGATGCATATGTTTTAGTTAGAGAAATAAATGACATGATTAATAGTTATTAATGCACAAGATAGACCATACAAGGTGAGAACAAAAAATGCAGTATGAAAAAATACAGTATGTTTTTAAATTCTAAACAGAAATGGATACATGATCATTAATCCCCCTCAAAATATTGCCCCTCAGTTCAAGCACATCCTGTTGTTTTGTTTGTGTCCCTTTCTGAAGCAGCTCTCTAAGTCCTCTTTTACAAGTATGTGCTTTTAATTATATTGTTATGGCTAACAATATAACTGAGTTAATCCCTTGCAAGGAAGATCAAGACTGGAGTGTGGATATTTGGGTGAAATTCACCTTAGTGTTTACATTTCATGTCCACTTTGACTTTGGAGAAGAGCAAGAATTTGCTTTGTGGCAGCCCTAGTGAATTAGGCCGAAGGACACACAATGTTTTTCTGAGTCTGCCTTTTTAGTGAATGGCATGCAGCAACATCATTCACTGTGTTTTTGATCACCCTCAGAAAGATAATCAAAAAAGAGGACTGTGAGTGCCACTTTAGAAAGTGACAAAAACAATGGGAAAAGTGTGCTCCCAGTAAGGAGGATGATTTGGAGGGAGATTAATGGCCGGATGCCTTTTACTATAATTATTTTTTAAACTTAAGCGTTCGCAATGTTTGTTGACCACTCCTTAAATTTGAGTGTTTGACACAGGTTTTACTTCTTTGCATGTGGTAGGTACCATAAGAGATGAAGAATGAATGGTGATTAGTTGGGAAATTATTTGTCTTAAGTTTTAGAAGATGTGAAACTACCACCTAGTTCATGTAGATGCTTCTTCTCTAATACTATAACTTAATCAGATGTTAGTGCCCAAGGCAGTGCTTTTCAATTTATTTCAGCAGGATTTTAGATACTGAGAATAAGGACAGACATTTAAAAAGAAAATTAAGTATTTATAGCAAACTACTATTTGGGAATTTCCTTGAAAACTTGTAGTTTAATAATATCACAGATTTTCCGACTTAATTGACTTTTTGCCTCGTGGTTTACTCTCTTTTTTTCTGTGTGTCTCTCCCTTTAGATAAGAAATGTTGAAACCAATCAATGTTTAGACAACATGGGCCGGAAGGAAAATGAAAAAGTGGGTATATTCAATTGTCATGGCATGGGAGGAAACCAGGTAAACTCTTTTTTTAATTAATTTAGTAATCCAGGGGGAAAAATATTGTTAAAATTATTAGTGTAGATCATGGCTCACAAGCTTGTCACAATAATTTCTTAGTTTAGTAACCAGACCTCCAAGCCAAGAATTAACTAGGCTATTTTATGATCACAAGTATGCTGCAAAATTAAAGCAAAGGGTAACACTTTCAGTGAACATACATTTAAGAAAAGATGGCCAGATATTTTATACCCATTTCACTTTATCATGATGAGAAAATTTTATTCTATGGGTACTCTCTGGTTTTTCTGTTGATTTTTATGTGTATCAGAATTTCTATAAGTTTTGAATTTCAATACATTTTTTAAATACATGATTTATCCCTGAGAGCTGAATAAAACCCTAGGAAAAAAAAATGTTTTAGTTGTGTCAGTCCAATTCTCAGAAACTTACCAGAGTTTAAGAAGGATTCTTGTTTTCCATTTGAGTCCTAAAAATTGTATTTCTGCAAGGCTCTGTGGTTGTGACTCTTCTGTCTTGCGGAGCCTTGCTTCATGGTGACTTTGAAAGGAAGATTTTAGAATTTCTGGAAAATGCTTACAAGGCAAAGCTTGAGATAGCTGGGAGAGAGTTTGTGCAGAAGTTAATGAGAAACCCAGCACTGAGTTCTTTCTAGGTGGAAAAATTTCTAGGCTAGCACAGACTGAGGTTGCAGAGGTAGCCCATCCAGCATGCATGGATTTAGGCTGAGCAGTGACTCTGCTGCTGTAAAACAAGGACAGTAGCACTATGGAGCTTTAATCCCATACTTTACAGGTGGTATCTCTGTGACACTATGTGATTCAGTGTTTTCCTTAAAAGCAAAACGATCAGTAATTAAAGGCCCAAGTAGGTTTCCAAAGTTTCAACTTGTACAAGACAGTATTTAAACTAAATCTCTATATTATAACATTTGAGAAAATGAGTTTATGGTGGAAGATCATAGAAACAATAGTATAGGCAGAAGAAAGAAAAATATTTTAGATGATACAGCTCATTGTTATATTGATTCACAATAACTGGAAGGCCTGTGCTGCCACAAACCAAAGACATTTTAGTAAATTCATGTAAAAATTATAAAAGCTTGAAGAGAGAGAAAAAGAGGAGGTGAAGGGAACACATAATTAAGCCATGCCATGCACCTGTAGCAACACCCCACATTGACTGTAATCTCGTGTATTTCAAACATGTACAAATAAAAATGAAAATTAGGAAAACAGAAAAGAGAAGTTGTGGGATTTAATTTTCTCTCTTAATTTTGAAAGAGTCAAATGTGGACAGTTGTTTAGGTCATGAATGATTCCGTGAGGAAACCACAATCCCTGTGTTTTCATTGTGGGATGCCTCTAGTGGTCCGTTTTCACATCATCATCTGGTCAGAGTTTGTTGAAGGTTTTGCACATAGTGTGCCCACATTCAGGATGGGAAAAGTGTGGTGAGGAATAACTCTAAGAAACATGTCTGCTTTTTATTAGGAAAAAACAAAAACCTCCTAGAGGCTTACCATTCCTCTGTGTATTATGTATGTGTTTTTGACCAAAAATATGTTACTTGAGTATACCTAGGGACCAAATCCCAGGATGTTCAGCCTTAGACTCAGAAGGCTGCTTCTCACAGGTCATTTGTAGCGTATGGTGGATGGACATTCAGAGCCGGCTACTACAGTCCATGTTAATAGATGATGGGAAAATCCCAACTAATCATCTATACCATGACATGCATTAAAAAATTCCATATGATCTCACTCTAATTCTAATGCACACTTCAATGAGAGAAAAGTACCTCATATAAATTATCTTTAAAAATTCAATAAGGTTACTATTGAAAAGGATAATCATATGCTTGCATTTGTGTGCATGACACACCGTATACCCAGATTGTAAGCATTAAATACTGCATTATTTATTTATAAAATTTCAGACACACAGAAATTAGCTTTTTCCGATCTCCTGTAACTCAGTCTTCCTTCCCAGAACCCGGCACAGTGCTGGTGGTTTGAGAGGCACATAATAAACTGCGCAAATTAACAGCTGAGGGTCTCTGTGGTTCAAACAATGGGCTTTTACATTCAGTACCTCATAGACATTGTCAAGGAATAATTGTAGCTATTGCCATCATTAAAAATGTTTCAAAAATCAATCTTAGAGAATCACAAACTGAGTGAAAAAATAAGCAATAACCAAGGAAACATTCCTACATACATTCTAGTACCTTTACATTGTGGACTTAACGATAAGTGAGAAACTGAAACCATATTTATTTTTCAGCATATATAAATACTTAGTAGTATTGTGCACATATTTATAAAACTAAGTATCTATCAAAAGGCAAATAGTTACTTAAGCATTAATGCATATGTGTGGAATATACGATAGCCTCAAAAGTAGTCAAAGAAAGCATGGAAAATACAAAATGGGAAAGAAACATCTAGAGTACCTCTTACTTTCAATGATTTATTTATCAAAACCATATATGAACATTTTTCTGTATTTTACAATACTTACACAAGTGTTATAATTTACTAGAAATGTATTGTAATCTGTAAAATAGATTGTTCTAAAGAGAATAAATCTAAAAAGAAGTTGGAATGGAAATTTTCACTTTTACTTCACATTTTATATATATTTACTACCTTCATAATAACAGTGGAGACTTAAGAATAAAAGCACAATTTGTAATATCACCAATCTGATCAATTTATGGATAAGGTACTCAGTGCTTTAACTTTAATGTTTGTCTATGAAATGTGTAAAAGATTTGCCTCAAATCTTGTGTCTTGTTACTAATCTCCTGTTTCTCCTATTGGTCCATTGGCATCAGTCATTTTCTTCTTATTTCCACTATGTTTTCAATTATTTCTTATTTTGTTTCTAAAAATAAAAGCTAAAATGTTCACTCAGTTCTTCATACTGAAGATAAAAATGCAACTTCCTTTAATATTGTTTAGCTGCAAGCACTGACCTGCCCCTAGTGCTGTTCTCACAAATACATGTTATGAAAAATGCAATCACAAAAAAACCCTATAATTAAGACTTCAGCTTCGACAGAAGTCAGTATTTTCAGGATAATTAATACATAGTGGCTGGTTTAGATTTTTCTTTACTCACTTTAAAAATGAACAGAGTTTATAATTTTATTCTCAAAATTCCCTTTCTGTTTATATTGCTATTCTTTTATGTTACAAGGGAAGCAGCATCTATTTTTGTGGTTTAGTTTTAAAATTTTACAAGTACTGTGGTCCCCAACCCATAAAATTCTTCATATTCCTTCTCTAGTCTTTAGAGAAAAGCCATAACAAATGTTCAAATACTTTTTGACTCAGGAAGAAATTATTATTTGGAGTTTTTGAAATATTTTGTTTAAATTATCAAAAACACAAATGATGTAAAGATGAATCTGTGGAAGCTTTTGTAGTTGGAATACTGTTCTTTAACAAAGCTAGTATGGAAATGTTTCTAAATTTGAAATAATCATCTTGAGGTACTCTTTTTTAATTCATGAATGAAGTTATCTACTTCTTAGAATAATGGCAAAATTAGGCCCTCTGTTCCTATCTTTTCATGAAATGTTTTCATTGGCAAGTAATGTCTTGTGGATAAACATTTCAGACAGAATTAAAGAGGAATTCCATTCATTTGATATAAATTTTTACAAGTGAAGGAAGAAACTTACTCCTTAGTGATAGAAAGTTTCTAGAAGTTTTGAGGTAATTGTCTACATGTCTCAAAAGATGAGGTGGTCTCCTGAAAGCCATTTCCTGTCATATCTTCGTCCCCATCTCCTCTCTTCAGCTCTGAAATCTGTACCTAATTAATGATTGTGAACTTTTCTACAAGCATCTCAAATTCATCTGTTTCCTAACTGGAACTTCTTTTCTTCCCCTTGACATAGTCATCCCAAACTTAAATCTAATATAAAAAGCTTTACTAGTAGAGTCTGATTGGTCACAAAATCCTGAAATTTACATGTAAAAATATTTCTCCTGTCCTACTTCACAATCCCTTTATATCCAAGGACTCCACCTTTGTCTTAGCCTATGTCTTCTTTAAATTTTCTGATTTTATTATGTCTATGACTACATCATTTATATTGTATTGGGATATAAAGTTTCATCAGAATCTTCAGGAATTTTCCACAGCCCAAAAAAAGAAATCTGTGTTGCTCAGTACAGCACACAGCACTCCCCACAGTCTAGTTTCTGCACTAGCTGCACTTCTACTTTGATCTACCTTGACATTTCAGTAGTCTCTTGTGCTGAACATGCCTGGTTGACGATTTCCCGTTCCTTTCATGCCTAAGAATTTTCAAATTTCTGCAGTGTACTGATACAGTTCCCCAATTTCATGACTGAATCTATCCTTTTTATCCACAAACTTAATCATTTAGTTTCTCTTCTGCTAGCTATTGGATAACAACTTCTTAATCTGCCCACAACATACTTTTTAATGGAAAAATTACAGTTTTTCAGCTAAATTCTCCTCTTGCCTAAAAAATAGTATTACTTGTAAATTTTCATTTTTATAGACTAGACCCATTGTCCTTGTGCCTGGAGTCTGCTAAGTACCCATACTTCTTTAAAAGTGTGTCCAGATAGAAATTTGTTAAGTTAAAGTTATGCAACACTATATGGCTTTTAATGTATTGTGACAGATGGTCTTTTAAAAAATATTACCATATTTTTAAAAGGACTAATTGCTGAAATAGGAAGTGATACTCGGACAGCTCTAAATCTGCACTATCTTCTATTCTCACAAGTATCTTTGAAGTACCTTGTGTTATTGTCCTGGTTTCATGCCAGGTAGACTTATGGAAACTGAGAAATTAGTAGAATGATTGAGATAGTAGAGCCAGTTTGAACCAAAGTCTGTCTGATTCCACGTCAACTTTATATCCATTGTATTTGGACTAATTCCCAATCACATGCCTCCAGTTTGTTATCATAGTGGCCAATCCTGATGCCTTATTAAACATTTTTGTTA